TAAGAGCATGCACGCCGGCAAACGCTGGCATGGCACGCCGGGGCAACGCTCCGGTGGGAAGGCATGCGGGCGGCCGGCCGTGGCATGGCATTGTTGGGCGACGCCGTCGCAAAAGGCATGCGGTCCAGAGCCGTGGATCAATGCGGGCCGAGGCCATGGCATGGCATTGCGGGCCGAGGCCGCTGGCATGGCGATGTTTGGGCGACGCCGTAGCAAGGCATGCGAGGCGAGATGGCGTGGCATGTCCATGCGAGCGAGGCCGTGGCATGCATTGCGGGCCGAGGCCGTGCCATGGCAATTGGAGCGCGTCCACGTGAATGCCATGCGGCCGAGGCCGTGGCATGTTCACGCGGCGCCGAGGCCGTGCATGGCATGCGGGCAGAGGCCGTGGCATGGGCAGTGGGCGACGCCGTCGCAAGGCATGCGGGCCGATGGCCGGGCCATGGCAGTTGGGCGACGCAAAACACAGTAGCAAGGCCAAAATGCGGGCCCGAGATCCGTGGACATTGTCAATGAAGCACTAGTGGGCCGACGCGTAGCCAAGGCCATGTCGGGCCGAAGGCCGTCGGCATGGCAGTTTAGGCAACGCCGTGAAGAGCAAGACATGATGGCCGTGCATGCATGGCATGCGGGCCACGAGGGCTGGGGGTGGGGGGGGGGGGACCGTGGCACGACATGTTGCCAAGCATGGCACGCAGGCAACCGGTGGCGTGCATGCTGGGCAACGCGGTGGCAAGGCATGCGGGCCGGGGCCGTTGGCATGGCATGTTGGCCAACCAGTCGTAGCAAGGCATGCCGCGGCCAGACTTCTCGGCCGAGGCCGTATGAGCACGGCCATGACGGGCGGGCTGTGGCATCGCATGTGGGCGCGCCGTAGCAAGGCATGACGGTCCGAGGCCGTGGCATGTCATGCGGGCCTGGGCGAGGCATGGCACTCGCTGCCTAGGCCTTGGCATGGCATGCTTCATGGCTTGGCTGGGCTGCCTTGGCGGGCATGGCCATTTTTTTTTTTATTGTTTTTTTTTTTTTTTTTTTTACTGCTGGCCTAGCCTTGATGGCATGGTATGCGCCTGGCCTTAGCCTTGGCAATGGCAGCTGCCTGCTTTGTCTGCGGCAGCTGACCGTCATGGCCGTGGCATGGCATGCTGCTGGCCTTGGCCTTGCGCATGGCATGCTTGCTGGCCTTGGCCTTGGCATGCATGTCTGCTGGCTTTGGCGGGCTGCCTTGGCCGTGGCATGGCATGCTGCTTTGGCCATTGCCTTGCATGGCATGCTGCTGGCTTTGGCTGGCCTGCCTTGCGTGGCATGCATGCTGCTGGCCTAGGCCTTGGCATGGCATGCTGCTGGCTTTGGCTGGCCTGCCTTGCCGTGGCATGGCATGCTGCTGGCCTAGGCATGGCATAGGCATGCTGCTGGCTTTGGCTGGGCGCCTTGGCCGTGGCATGGCATGCTGCTGGCCTTGGGCCTTGATATGGCATGCTGCTGGCTTTGGCTGGGCTGCCTTGGCCGTGGCATGGCATGCTGCTGGCCTGGCCTTGGCATGGCATGCTGCTGGCTTTGGCTGGCTGCCTTGGCGTGGCATGGCATGCTGCTGGCCTTGGCCTTGGCATGGCATGCTGCTGGCTTTGGCTGGGCCTGCCTTGGCCGTGGCATGGATGCTGGCTGGCCTAGGCCTTGGCATGGCATGCTGCTGGCTTGGCTTTTGCTGGGCAGGCCCCTTGGCCGTTTTGGCATGGCATGCTGTGCCCTTGGCCTTGGAATGGATGCTGCTGGACTTGCTTGGCTGGCTGCTTGGCCGGCTATGGCATGCTGCTGGGCGCTAGGCCTTGCATGAGCATGCTTGCTGTTGGGCTGCCGCGTGGCTGTGGCTGTTTGCCTGGCATGCATGCTTTGGTGGCTGTGCTTGGCCGTGCATGGCATGCTGCTGGCCTAGGCCTTGCATGGCATGCTGACTTATCGGCGCTGGGCTGCCTGGCCGTGGCATGGCATGCTGCTGGCTTGGCGCTTTGGCATGCATGCTGCTCGGCTTTTGGCTGGAGCTGCCTTGGCCGTGGCATGGCATGCTGGGCGGCCATACGCCTTGCATGGCAAACTCTGCTGGCTTTTGGCTTGCCGTGCTTGGCCGTGCATGGCATGGCAATGCCTGGCCTGGCGCTGGATGCCTAGCTGCTTGGCCGTGCATGGGCATGCGCTAGCCTAGCCTGCATGGCTGTGGCTTGTTGGGCTGCCTTGGCCGTGGCATGGCATGCTGCTGCGGCCTAGGCCTTGGCATGGCATGCTGCTCGGCTTTGGCTGGCCTGCTTGGCCGTGGAAATGGCGATGCTGCTGGCTAGGCCTTGAGTGGCATGCTGCTAGGGCTTGTTGCTGGGCTGCCTTGAGCCGTGGCATGGATGCTGCTGGCCATGGCTTGCATGCCATCTGTTGGCTTTGGCTGGCCTGCCTTGGCCGTGCATGGCATGACTGCTGGGCCTAGGCCCTTGGCATGGCATTGCTGCTGGCTTTGGCTGGGCTGCCTTGGCCGTGTGGCATGACCAGCTGGCTGGCCTTTGGCCGTTGGCATGGCTTGCCTGCTGGCTTTGGCTGGGCTGCCTTGGCCTTGCCATGGCATGCTGCTGGCCTTGGCCTTCTGGCATGGCATCTCTGGCTTGCTGGGCTGCCTTTGCCGTTGGCACTGGCATGCTTGTGGCCTAGGCCCTTGCATGGCATTGCTGCTGCTTTGGCTGGGCTGCCTTGGCGCTTGCCATTGGCATGGCTGCTGGCCTACGGCGTGCATGCATTGCTGCTCGGCCTTGGCCTTGGCATGCATGCTGCTGGCTTTTTGGCTGGCCTGCCTTGCCGTGGCATGGCATGCCTGCTGGCCTAGGCCGTTGCATGGCAGCTGCTGGCTTGTTGGCTGGCCTTTTGGCCGTGGCATGGCGATGCTGCTGGCCTAGGCCTTGCATGGCATGTGCTGGCTTTGGCTGGCCTGCCCGTTTGGCCGCTGGGCAGGCATGCTGCTGGCCTAGGCCATGGCATGAGCATGACTGCTGGCTTTGGCTGGGCTGCCATTGGCCGTTGCATGGCATGCTGCTGCCTTTGGCCTTGATATGCATGCTGCTGGCTTTGGTGGGCTGCCTAGCCGTGCCATGGCATGCTTGGCTAGGCCTTGCATGGCATGCTGCTGGCTTTGGCTGGCTGCCTTGCCGTGCATGGCATGCTGCCTGCCTCGGCCTTGGCATGGCACATATGCTGCTGGTTTGGCTGGCCTGCCATTGGCCGGGGCATGGCATGCTGACCTTGGTCATAGATGCCATGGCGTATGCCTGCATGCTGCTTGCTATGGCTTAGGGCTGCCGTCATTGCCGTGACATGGTTTGCCTGCTCCCACTCTGGCCCAGTTGCTGATAGGCAATGCAGCATGCTTGGGTTCTGGCCTGTCCCTTGGCCGTGGCAGATGGCTTGCTGCTGGCCCTTAGGCTTAGGCATGGCATGTTGCGGTCTTTTAGGCTGGCTGCCTTGGCCATGGCTATGCATTAGCCCTGCTGGCCATAGCCTTGGCATTGCTCGCTGCTGGCTTTTGGCTGGTCAATAATGCAAGCTAATTTACCTCTAGAGGTGCCTTGGCCGTGGCATGCGCATGCTTGCTGGCCCATTGCCTTGGCAATAGCATGCTGCTTTTGCTTTGGACTGGCTGCCTTCCGCTGGCATGGCATGCGTGGGCCTGAGGCCTTGGCATGGCATGCCTCTGCTTAGGCTTTGGCTGGCTTCTGCTTAGGGCCGTGGATTGGCATTGCTCTGTCTGGCCTAGGCCTTGGCATGGCATGTCCCTACTGAGCCTATTGGTTGGGCTGCCTTGCCGTGGCATGCATGCTGCTTGGCCCTCGGCCTTGGCATAGCATGGCTGCTGCTATTGGCTGGCCTAGCCTTGCGCCGTTGGCATGGCATCTGCTGGCCTAGGCTTTGCAGTGCATGCATGCTGGTGCGTTGGCTGGGCTGCCTTGGCCGTGGCATTGGATGCTGCTGGCCTTGGCCTTGGACCATTAGGACCTAGCTTTGCTGGCTTTGGCTGGCTGCCTTGGCCGTTGGGCATGGCATGCTGCTTGGCATCTATGCCTTGGCATGGCATGCTTGCTCTCGCTTTGCTTGACCTGCCTTGCACGATGCATGGCATCTGCTGAGTAGGCCTTGGATGGCATGGCTGCTGGCTTTGGCTTGGCCTGCCTTGCCGTGGCATGCATGCCCTGCTGGCCTAAGCCTTGCATTGCATGCTGCTGCTTTGGTTTGGGCTGCCTTGGCGTGGCATGGCATGCTGCCTGGCCTTAGGCCTTGGCCAGGGCATGCTGCTCGCTTTGGGCCTGGCCGCCTTGCCGTGCATGGCAGCTGCTGGCAGGCCTTGCAGCCATGTACTGCTGCTTTGGCTGGGCTGCCTTGGCCGATGGCATGGCACTGCTGCTGGCCTTGCCTTTGGCATGCCATGCTGTTTGCTTTGCTGGCCTGCCTTGGCCGGTGGCATGGCTGCTGCTGGCCTAGTCCCTTGCACTCGGCATGCCTGCTGGCTTTGGCTGGGTGCCTTGGCCGTGCATGCATGCTGCTGGCCTGGCCTTGGCATGGCATTGCTGCGCTTTCTTGCCTGAGGCTGCCTTGGCGTGGCATGGCATGCCTGCTTGCCTTGGCCTTGGCATGCATGGCCGCCTGGCTTTGGCTGCGGCTGCCTGCCGGCATGGCATGCCTGCTGCCTAGGCCTCTGGCCTGCATTGCTGCTTGGCTTTGGCTGGGCTTCCTTGGCCAGTGGCATGGCATGCTTTGCTGCCTAGGCCGTGTTTGGCATGGCATGCTGTGGCCTTGGCCTTGGCATGCATGCTGCTGGCTTTCGGACTGGCCTGCCCTTGGCGTGGCATGGCATTGCGCTGGCCTAGGCCTTGGCATGGCATGCCCTGCTGGACTTGCTGGCCTGTTTGGCCGTGGCAGATGCTGCTGGCTAGGCCTTGGCCATTTGGCATGCTGCGTGGCTTTGGCTGCCTGCCTTAGGCCGATGGCATGCATGCCTGCTGGCTAGCGCCATGGCATGGCATGCTGACTCGCTTTGAGCTTGGGGCTCCTTGGCCCGTGCATGGCAGTCTGCTGGCCTTGGCCTTGATATGGCATGCCGCGCGGCGTTTGGCCTGATGGCCTAGCCTCTGGCCGTGGCATGGCATGCTGCGCGCCTGGCCTTGCATGGCATTGCTGCTGGCTTGGCTGGCCTGCCTTGGCCGTCCGGGTTATGGTCAGGTGGCATGCTGCTGGCTTGAGCCTTGGCAGTGGCATGCGCTGGCTCATGATGGACTGACCTGCACGTCTGGCCGTGCATGGCATGCTGCTGGCCAAATAGGCCATGGCATGCATGGCTGCTGCTTTCGGCATGGAGGACGTGCCTTTGGCCTGCCATCGGAGCATGTAGCTGCGCCCTTGCCGTGATATGCATGCTGCTGGCTTTGCGTGGGCTGCCTTGCCGTGGTCTAGGCTGCTGCGGCGCCCTACCCTTGGCATTGGCATGTTGCTGGCTTTGGCTGGCCTGCCCTTGGCCGTGCATGGCATGCTGTGCCTAGTTCCTTCGGCATGCCATGCTGCCTGGCTTTTGGCTGGCTTTGACCTTGGCAACGTGTGCATGTCATGCCTGCATGGCCTTGGCCTTGGATGCATGGTGCTGGCTTTTGGCTGGGGCTGCCTTGGCCTCTGCATAGGGAACATGTGGTGCCTACGCCTTATACCATGGCGCGCATGCCATGCTGGCTCCTGGCTGGCCGTGCCTTGCCGTGGCATGCATGGCTGCTGGCCTAGCCTTGGTGTCAGGCATGCTTGCTGCTTTTGTTGGTGCCTGCCTTGGACCGTAATCAGGCATGGCATCTGCTGGCCTTGGGCCTTGTGAAAGGCCCATGCTAATGCTGGCTTCTCGCTGACAACCTCCTGCCCAATCCACTCTGTGGTCTACTGAGCATGCCATTGCTGGCCTTAGACCTCTGCCAGTGGCGATGCTGCATGGCTATTGGCTGGGTGCGTGCCTGGCCGTGGCATGGCATGCTGCTAGCCTTGCGCGGCTTGGCCATGGCATGCTCTGGACTTGGCTGGCTTGCCTTTTGGCCGTGGAGCGATGGAATGCTGCCTGCCATTGCCCTTGGCAGTGGCATGCTGCTGGGCTTGGCTGGCATGCCTTTGGCATGGCATGGCATGCTGCTCTGGATACCTAAAGGCCTTTGGCATAGCATAGACTAGCTATAGGCTTTCGCTGAGCTGCCTTGGCACAGTGGTATGAGCAATGCTTGTTCTGGCCTAGGCCGGGCATGCTGCTGCTGGCCTTGGCCTTGGCATGGCATGCTGCTGAGCTCTTGGCTGGCCCCTTGCCTGGCCATGGCATGCTGCTCGGCCTACGCCTTCGCATGCATGATGCTGGCTTTTGGCTGGCCTGTTTGCCTTGGCCGTGGCATGGCTTGCGTGCTGCCTTGGCCGTGGCATGGCATGCTGCTGGCCTAGGCCTTGTGTCACGACCCGCCAACGTGACCAGGCCAAAGTATCCAACAAGAGGAAATCTCAAAAGAAAGAGGCTAGTGGAATGGCTTGGAAGCTCCTGGAAGACTTGAGAAAGTATGAAGGCCAGGAAGGATGCTAGAGGGTTCTGGAACTCTCTAGAATGGCTACAAGAAGAAAGTCTACAAGAAGATTGCCTAGAAGTCTCTAGAATAATATAAAGGTTGTATGTATGTTCTAGAATAGGCTTTTTGAGGATGAGGGAAGGATCTAGAATCCCCTCCATCCATATAGTTCTAGAATAGTCTATTAGATGTAATAGGTGGAAGTGTCTAGAACACTCTCCACCATAGTAGTTCTAGAATATTCTATGTAAGGCTATATAAAGGGGAGGCCCTCATTTGGCCAAACTAAACCTATGTAACAACCAAGAACCAAGAACTAAGAACCAAATATCCAAGTTGTAAGCTTTCTCTCTAGTGTAATACAAAGCTAATATTGTCCAAATCTCTCTTGTGTGTGTACAATCCCCTAGCTCCCTTCCACAAAAGGCTTACTTAGGTGCGAGCAAGGCGTGCTACAAGCATCTAAGGCCGCACGGTTGGCTTGGAAAGACTGAGGGTTGGTTCAGAAATTCCAAGGCCGTGACAGTTGGTATCAGAGCGGGTTACGAAGGCGTCGTGACTTGAGGAAGGAAGGGCACTATGTCGGGAGTAACTCACACGGAGGAGCACCGCGGAGGGGAGATTGCTACAAACTTGGGCAAATGGGCAATGCGGGTTAAGGATATGAAGCCAAGGGATAACTGCTTCCTTTGCGATGAGCTACATTGGGCAAGGGATTGTCCTAAGAGGAGGAGTCTCATTGCAAAGCTGGAAGAGCAAGAAAGGGAAGAGCAGGCTTGCACGGGATCTCTGCAGCTGCTTGAAGCAAAGCCTACTGCATCAACCCAAGGGGAGAAGGGTTTGATGTACGTAGAGGGCAAGGTCGATGGGGAGGCAACCCAAGTCATGGTCGACATCGGGGCATCGCACCACTTCATCAATGCGGAAGAGGCCAAGCGGGTTGGTCCGAACCTTGACGGGGGTCAAGGATTGATGAAGGTGGAAAACACCAAGGCAAAGTCCGTGGAGGGCCCGGCTCAAGGGGTTGAGCTGCACCTTGGTAAGTGGCGCGAAGAAGTCAAAGACTGTGGCATGGTGCTGGGACGGTACGTGGGACTTACGCCAAGCACCGTCATTGTGGAGTCCGCACCAAGGGTGGTGTCTGCGCGGGGCGGGTTTCCCGTGGGTAGGGGAATGGACAAGCATGGCGGTAGGCAGGGTAATGTCCCCCTGACAAGGGCATCAGGGACTAGCGGTGGTAGCATGTCATGTATCAAGTACAACGTGGCACAGTCAAAACCAAGAAGGAGTAAGTCAAGGAGAAAGACTACGACTTCGAGGATGGAGACGCGACGAGGGCGTCGCAAGCATAGGTGGGGGAGAATGTCACACCCTGTCGAATCATCAAGACTGACGCGACGAGGGCGTCGCGAGCATAGGTGGGGGAGAATGTCACGCCCCGCCAAATCACTAAGGCAAGATAACCTACAAAAGGGAAGTCTCAAGGAGGAAAGGCTAGTGAAATGGCTTGGAAGCTCCTGGAAGACTTGAGAAAGTATGAAGGCCAGGAAGGATGCTAGAGGGTTCTGGAACTCTCTAGAATGGCTACAAGAATAAAGGCTATGGGAGCATTGCCTAGAAGACTCTAGAATAATATAGAGCTAGTATAGAGTTAGAAGATTCTAGAATAAAGGTTGTATGTATGTTCTAGAATAGGCTTTTTGAGGATGAGGGAAGGATCTAGAATCCCCTCTATCCATATAGTTCTAGAATAGTCTATTAGATATAATAGGTGGAAGTGTCTAGAACACTCTCCACTATAGTAGTTCTAGAATGATCCTTGTAAGGCTATATAAAGGGGAGGCCCTCATTTGGCCAAACCAACCTATGTAACAACCAAGAACCAAGTATCCCAAGAATTGTAAGCTTTCTCTCTAAAGTAATACAAGCTAATATTCTCCAAGTCTCTCTTGTGTGTGCATTCCCCTAGCTCCCTTCCACAAAAGGCTTACTTAGGTGCAAGCAAGGCGTGCTACAAGCATCTAAGGCCGCACGGTTGGCTTGGAAAGACTGAGGGTTGGTTCAGAAATTCCAAGGCCGTGACAGTTGGTATCAGAGCCAAGGTTACAAAGGCGTTGTAACCAGTTGGTATCAGAGCGGGTTGCGAAGGCGTCGTGACTTGGGGACGGAAGGGCACTATGTCGGGAGCAACTCACACGGAGGAGCACCACGGAGGGGAGATTGCTACAAACTTGGGCAAATGGGCAATGCGGGTTAAGGATATGAAGCCAAGGGATAACTGCTTCCTTTGCGATGAGCTACATTGGGCAAGGGATTGTCCTAAGAGGAGGAGTCTCATTGCAAAGCTGGAGGAGCAAGAAAGGGAAGAGCAGTCTTGCATGGGATCTCTGCAGCTGCTTGAAGCGAAGCCTACTGCATCAACCCAAGGGGATAAGGGTTTGATGTACGTAGAGGGCAAGGTCGATGGGGAGGCAACCCAAGTCATGGTCGACACCGGGGCATCGCACCACTTCATCAATGCGGAAGAGGCCAAGCGGGTTGATCCGAACCTTGACGGGGGTCAAGGATTGATGAAGGTGGAAAACACCAAGGTAAAGTCCGTGGAGGGCATGGCTCAAGGGGTTGAGTTGCACCTTGGTGAGTGGCGCAAAGAAGTCAATGACCATGGCGTGGTGTTGGAGATCGAATTACCGCGAGAGTTCAACATGGCGAAGTTGCCTCGCAACAACACTTGGTGCATTATGGACAGGGGTCCTTACATGGTGCCAACGGTGGACAAAGGAAAACCAAGAAGGCGCAAGTCAAGGAAAGAACCAGCGACTTCAAAGAAGGAGCCGCGACGAGGGCGTCGCGAGCATAGGTGGGGGAGAATGTCACGACCATTCTTAGAACATGCATAAACCTCAAGTATTGTGTACAATGTTCCTATATTATTCTAGATCTTTCTAGTTAATTCTCTTTACCCTTTATTCTTGTATCCCTTCTAAGAAGTTCCAAACCCTCTAGCTTCCTTCCTGTCTTCACACTTCTCAAGCTTCCAGAGCTTCACAAGCATTCATATCTCCTTTTCTGAGATCCTTTTTAGTTATTTTCCTTGAATGTGGCGGGCGT